CCTCTTTATGTGATTTCATATTGACTGTTGTCTCCAAGCTATCAATAAGTTATCATAACTTTATTTTATATTTGTTTAGTGTGTCCTAGCTTCTTGTTTTGTTTTGATATGCCCAAATAGGCTGCTCGTGTGAGCTAGTTTGATTATTGGTGTCTTTTAAGATCTAACATCCTGTCACCAGGTAGTTAGGTCTGTAACTAAGTAGGTGTGCCCAGGAGTCTGTTTAATTTTCCTGTATGGATTCAGCTCAGGTGTCTAGGCAGTCTGTCACTAAGTGGTGGTGTACGTTCTCAGCTACAGTCTTAGAGAGGCATGGGTGATTGGTGTAGGCGCAGGTATCTGGCTGCAGTAGGGGGTCACACGCTAAGCAAGGCAGGGGCTGACAGCTGCCCCTGCGTGTGTGAAAGGAAAGTGTGTCCCTGTTCCCTAGAGAGAGTTGGTAGGTGAGTTTTGCAGCCGGACTATGAGCACCCTACTGTGTTGGCTGTAAGGACTGGGGGGCATCACTTATTCTTGGACCCCTGTAGCAGGTGGCCAGGTGACATGGGTGGAGCCACCAGTCCTCAAGCCCCTGATGTAGACAGGTAAGGCGCCTGCTTAAAGGGCAGAGCAGTGTCAAGCGTCACAAATCTACCACTTCACAGCTGAAACAGTTGAAGTTAGACTTCAGGTGTTTACTCGGTTGTACTAGATACACATATTTTTGAGGGACACAATTCAATCCATGACAAGGAGCCTCCAATGGAGTTCAATGGCGTTTAGGGAATTGGGAGGTGGAAGAGGGGAGCCTGCGGTGACCAGGGACAATCTGAAGGTCCCTAACAGGGGCCCCCTCTGCAGCTGGCCAGCCATCTGCCACAGCCCTGTCCCTCCCCAACCTCAGCTCTTTGCTGGTGCTCCTTGGGGAGCGACAGGTAAGCACTGTGAGCTCCTTCTGAGAGACCCCGTAGATAGTGCAAAGTCCTTTGTTTGGGGCCAACCACAAATTCTGGAGAATTCTGGTCACAAAGTCTTCACACCTTTGACCAGGCACCAAGTCCTAACTTCCCCTGCCAGGAAATGAGTCTCAACTCTCATAAACGACGCTAGATCTTTCTCCCAGGGCCTAAAGTCCCACTTAGACCGCTATTGACGAAATTGCCAATTCCCCCTCCAGCAGCTAGGACAGATTTTGGTTCCAAAGGCAAAGTTCCCCCATCTCACCTGTACGACTTCTTCGCTACTCTGAAAGTGGCCACAAGGTGGCGCCAGAGAACAAACGCTACCAGGACCAGAAGTGACAGGCTGGTCCCCAGTTCTTGGGCGTCGGAAGTCTGAGAGAGGATCTGTTTTGGGCTCCGTGGCCTCCCGTTCGGTGTGGATGTCTTTGCGGAGGAACCGGGACGGTCTGAGGCACCGACTGATCTCCGACCCCCACCGCGCTGGCCCCCGGACTCCACCAGCGTAGATGACTCTTCCTGCAGGATGTGCCCCCGAGCAGTGGAGACAACTTGCGCAGTAGGTACCTCATCCCGGGAGCGCGCAGATTCCTTTTCCCAGGGGCCCTCGGGGAACAGGGTGAGATCCACTCCGCAGGCCTGGGCTCAGAAACTCCTCAGGGCAGGCCGGGGATTCGGGACCCCAACAAACAGGACCCCAGCCCAACAGGGCCCCAGCTCTGGGCACAGCCTAAAGCTTGCGGAAATCCCACCAACAAGGAAACTTAAGGCCTCCGTGCAACCGGAGTCTTTCCTCAAATGCTGATTCTTAAGACAAATCTGTGGCAAAATAAATCAAGGAAAAAGTAGAAATAAGGCACAAAACTAAAACATGCAGAATGATACACTACTACATGTGCTGCAGCCATGAAAAAGTTAAGAGGATATTGGGAACCACTTTATGGCAGTAAATTAAGAAAATGTAGATGAAGTGCACATGTTGTTAGCTGCTGTCCAGCCGTTTCCGACTCATGGAGACCCCATGTGTGCAGAGTAGAACTGCTCCATAGGATTTTCAAGGCTGTGATCTCTTGGAAGCCACATCACTAGGCCCGTCTTCCCAAGCACTCTGGGTGGGTTCCAAGGGCCAACCTTTCAGCTAGTGGTCGAGACATTAAGCTTTTGCACCACCCAAACTGAAACAAAACTCATTGCATGGAGTTGATTCTGACTCAGCCACCCTATAGAGCATGGTTAACTGCCCCATAGGATTTCCAAGGCTGTGATCTTTACAGAAGGCGCCCTTGGTGGCTCAGTGGGTAAGCACGTGATTGCTAACGGAATTATCGATGGTTTGAACCCATCAGCTGCCATTTCGGAGAAATATGTGGCAGTCTGCTTCTGTAAATATTACATACAGCCTTGGAAACACTACGGGTCAGTTCTACTCTGTCTTATAGGGTCACTGTGAGTCAGAATCGACTCCATGGCAATGGGTTTGGTTTGGTAATCTTTAGGGAAGCCGACTGCCAATTTCTTCCAAGGAGGGGCTTATGGGTTTGAATTCCTGATCTTTTGGTTAGCAGTCAAGCGCTTAACTACTGCGCTACTGTGGGACTCCAAAGTAGACATATTTGGAAAAACTCAACTTCCTAAAACCGACTCAAGTAGAAATGGCTGTCTTATAATCATTAAAAATTGGAATTAGCAGTCAAAAACTTTCCCCCAAAGATACGTTCCTCAGGAAATTCAACCAAACATTTAATGACGGCAAAGTGCAATTTTACCCAAGATTTTAGAGAATAGTAAGCAAGGTAGCACACCTGATTCATTCTGACGCTAGAGTAACATGATCCAACCTCCTAAAGACACTACCAGTAAAGAAAGTTAATAGAAATTATCTCAAAATATTAGCAGCCCTAACCCAGAAATCCATAAAAAGGATGTATCATGACCTAGTTGTGTTCTTCAAAGTACAGGACATTCTTTAATATGAAAAAACTAATCAATTTTAATCACCACATCGACAGATTATAGGAGGAAAACATATGATTATTGCAATCAATGAAAAAGAGCATTTGAAAACTGCAAAGCCTATGGGGGCAGGTGCAGCAGAGCACAATAGGAATAAAAGGATTCACTCCTTGGGTAGAAACTGATAATAATTTAGCAAATATCATACTTAACATGACTGGGAAGTGTAGACAATGATGCCACCTGTCACTACTCTGATTTATTTCTCAATGTAGAAAAGTAAGGCGGAAAAAATGCATAAGGATTGTATGGAAGTAAAGATGCCATTATTGGCATATGATGTGATGTGTACTTATGAAATCAAATGAACCCACAGGTTTCATTTATTTTGTTGTGATTTTTCATAGTTATTTTCTTCCTTGTCCAAATTCAACTCTCAGTAATTCAGTGAATATTAACCCAGTTCACATTTTTTGTATTATTGCTCTGTGTATATACCTATATGTGTATCCAAGAATAAGCAATAATACTGCTTTACCTCATTTCATTTCCATAATTAGTATAAAATTGATTAGACAACTTGCTTTTTCACTGAATATTGTGTCCCAAACACTCTCATAACATCTATAGATCTGGTCTAGTCTCTTTAACTGTGCTAGTTTGTTACTTTAGAGGATGTTTTTATTTGTGGTTCTGTATTCTGGTGAGCACCTATGTGAGTTTCTATGTGGGCTGTATCTAGCAGCAGAAGTCGTGGGCCTTTTCAGCTTCAGTATATCTTCCATGTGGCTCTCCAAAGTGATTGTGCAAATCACTGCTGTCACCCGTGATTGAGAGTTGCTATTTCCTCACCTCCTCTCAATCTTATCATAGCAACAGATGGAAGATGTCATATTGCCTGGGACAGACATACAGGGCATGCTTTATTCTGCAAATTAAAATATGTGATATGATTCAACTGGGTTAAAATATTTTAAAGAAACATGTCCAGACTGTTACACAATATAGGAGAAAATATATCAAATGGTTTACAGTGGTTACCCCAAGAATATGAACTTGGAGTGGCAGAATAAAAGTCCAGACTTTTACTGTATGACTCTGCATTGCTTAAATTATCACAATCAACACGTATTAACTTGTAATTAAATAACTACGTTTTGGCAAATAAAAAATAGGAAGGAAATACACAGAGCGCACTCTATTGTTAGCATGTTTTTACATAAAACACCCCAAGGGGCAACTCTATTCTGAGAAGAGTACGACACTATTTATCTTCTAAATTTAAAGCTGGGGGTTCACAGACATCAGATCTTTTTTCAAAAGATAAGGTCAGCGGGTGGCATTCAGGTGCTCAGCTGGGTACTCTTAAATCTTTGTTTCCCCTGGTCCCACGTGCACAGATGACTTGCTCACAGAAGTCTGGACTCCTAGGCAGCAGCTGTCAGCTAAGACAGGATGGTGGGGCCTCCACACCTGCTTCAGCAGAGGATGCTCTTGCTTCCGTGAAAGGGCCGCCTTTTAGATGGACGGAGGCCAGACTGATGTGGGTGCCCTTCACAGTCAGGGCTTCGGTGGGGCTTGCTGCCGGAGGGGATATGACTGCTGCCTTTGCAGACCGTGCTCCCTGTCCTGCAGATACTGCCCTGATGGTGGAGTAGAGAGCTTTACAGTAGCCGCCTTGTAGACCTCCCATCCAAAAGGGCTGCAGTGGAGTCCTTGATACTCTTGTACTTCTTGTTGGCTATCTTGTCTCTGAGGGAGACAGAGTGGCTGAGTGGGGCAAGGCTGTGCAAGAACATCCTTCTGAAGCACAAATTGATTTGGATTTTGCAACTGCTCTTTGGGGGTTGCGTTGCCAACTTTGTGGTTGTTGGTTTTGACTGCATGCTCCATTCCAGGCTTTTTCCAGGGCACTATAATTAGCATGATCGGGGGCTATACACTGATGGATCCTGATGCTCTATCAGAAGGGATCAACTGCTCAAAGTCTTTCTGAGGACTGCAGTTTTATGTTCAGTGGTCTTTACCTTTAGGCTGCTGTGTCAATGACTGGCAAAATCTACGGCTGTTGCTCTTTGACGCCTAGTACCATTTCCTGAACATGCATCCCTATTCCCAGCCATGGGACCTAGCAGACCACTTATCCCAAAGCTGTTGCTGTTGGGCCCAGGGTTGCTCTGCAGCTCCATGCTGCATATCTTGCCCCAGAGGCAGTGGTGGAGACCTGGCCACTGTTTGGGAAGGTGCCTGTTGCAGCTGAGAACGCAATGACCCTCCGTTATTTTGAGGATACCAACTCTGCTCCTGGGACTGAAGAGAGGGCAACTGCTGCCCTAGATCCCCATGACTTGGGTGCTGGAACTGCAGCTTCTCTTGACAATGCTGAGGCTGTTGAGGCTGCTGTAGATGACACTGCCAACCATTCTGCTGCTGTCCTTGCAATGGTGAGTGAGGACTATTCTTCTGCTCCTCCTGCTGCTGCCTCACTCCATGCACACTATAAACATGGTGCTGAAGGCAGGGGCTTGCATACTGGCTTTGCCCTCTCTCAGTCCTGTCCCTGTCAAAGTGCTCCACAGAAGATGTAGGAGATAAAGGCTGATTGCTGAGGTGTAGCTGGGAAGCACAGAGCCAGGAAAGAGTCCACTTGCTGTGTTACCTCAGTACTCCAAATCGTAGCCTGGTTCCTTTTGAATGTTTGGAAACCCAGAGTCGCCCGAGCCAACCTGTTGACTGGGAACCCCTTGTGTGTCCAGAGAGGAGCAGCCAGCTCTACCCAGCAGAGTCTCCTGGGCATAAGAGAAGCTCTGTTCAGGGATATCCTTAGGAGCTTCAGTGTTTGTTCCTGAAGGCTTACAGGTCAGTGACCTTGGACAGGGAATGCTTTTCCCTTTTTAGCTGCAAAGAGTCTGCGTCTCTCTTTAGGTGGTAGTCAAGCTCTTATTCTGGAATCAGTTCTAAACAGAAAAGACAGTATTGTTCTATCAAATCTGTTTATCTGGTTATTTCCACAATGTATTTCCATAATGTAGGAGGATTTTGTATTTAATTCTAGTCTCCACCTTATTGCTGACTTGCCTCTGACCTTGAGTAAGACATGGAAAATGAAGATAATCCTTCCCAGAGCTGCACATGCAGTTATGGAGGATGCAGTCCACAATTCCAAAATCCCAACCTCCACTGTGTGCAGTGACCCTTCTTTACATGCAAACTCAGGCCTTTCCAAATCTCCCCCTAACCTGTCTGTCACCTGTTTGCAATCCTCTGCATTTAAAGACAGAACAGACTCCCAGGTGTCCCTTGAACACGTTTCATTGTTCACATAATGTCTTTGTTTTATTCAAGCTGCCCCACCAGGATAAATTCATGACTCAATGTACTCTTAATTATATTCTTAAATTCATTGCTTTCAATGAATTTAAGCAAGAGTTTGAGTCATACTTGATTAATATGTGCCGCTAAGCATTTCATTGATCTCCTCTAATTCTCTTTCCTCCTCCATAAAATCAGGACAATCATCCATATCCATCATAATGCCAACCTCCTGGGGGAGGTGGAAATGATAAATTGTGTTTTTAGACTATTAATCTTCATAAGCCAGCTTGTGGTAGGGCGGAGTCATGCAGCTCAGGCAGTATACCTGGGAGCCTGTTGCCATTTGCTCACCCCTGGGACCCTTCCGTGTCTCCCAGTTCAGAATTGCTCTAGGATGTTAGTAGCATTTAAGCTACAAGGACTTCCCATTCACACTCCTGATGACTGTTTAAAACAAAACTCTATGCAGAATGAACCCAGCACTTACAAACACACTCGTTTCCTCCTCAAAAATGCCATGTCATAGAAAGTCATCACATTTTAGAGAAAGCTGAGTTCAAGTGTCAATAATTTGTGAAGCCAGTAAGAGGCAGGTCTCATGAGGATCCAGCCAAAAACCAAGTGCTCACTTCCTCCTGTCAAACAGCTTCCTGTGATGCTTCCCCCAGCTATGCTTGCTTCCTGATCCCATCTAGGGGCACTTTCTCTCTGCACACATAGCCCAAGTCAATTCTGTGCAATTTGATTGGCCAGCATCCATGAACTTCCTTTCTATTCCTCTGACAGGTAGGGAGGATAAAAAATGATTAAAGAGCTGTTCTGACCTTGAGGAACTCAATGGTCAGAAATTCAGAAATGTACTAGGTATTTGCCTATTCCTTTCTTTATCCTCCAAAGCTGTTCTGACATTCCTGAAGACAATTTCCAATAAGACGATTTCTTCCTATTGTCAAGCAAGCAAAAAATTCAATGATTTGTGGACAATTACAGAACCAAGACAAATATGGAAATTGTCTTAATTCTGTGCATAAAGTAGCATACCTCTAATAGAATGAAATGTTATGTAGTTATTAACAATCATTTCCAAAAATGATTATGTCAGGAAATTCCCTAAACAAAATGGGCATGCCAGAAATGGTTATGAAGCACCTACTAATGCTGTGAGGGACTGTGCCTGGTGCTGAGGACAATGTCAATAATTTACATCTCAAGCTAAGTCCTTTCTCCTGCCCTTCAGATCTGCATATCCAACTATTTACTGACAATCTCCTCTTGGATGTTTAGTAGGCATAAAAATCTCCTGATGTCTCTGGCCGCTCTCCCAAGCCTCCCCACCTCGGTTAAAGAAAACTCCAATCCTCCATTTGCTCAAGCCAAACTTTTAAAACCATCCTTGTCTCTCCCTTCTCTCTCACTGATTATCCAATATCTCAGCAAACTCTGCCAGCTCGTCCTTCAAAATACACAGAGTCTTCTTGGCTCTCTTTGCCTCTAAGGAAGCACTCTGGTCCAATCCACCATCGTCCCTATCCTGGATAATTGACCAGTCCCAGCTGCCAAACTTACCTTAAGATAGTCTTTTTTCATAAAGCATAGACATAAATATATTCACACCCACATTGAGATGAATAACAAAAGTAACAATATATCAACACTCTTTTCTATGGGATAAAATGCTTTTAAACATTCTCATAATTCTTTACATTTTCCATATTGTCCACAAAAAGACACATGCACACAAAGCTTTAAACATTTGACTTACAGCAATTACAGCCACAGAACAATGGACTAGGTTGGACAGTTCTCTTCTGGTTGTAAAATCTGGGTAAGGGTCCTCTGAAAATTTGTTATTAAGTGTGAGCACTTCTTCCGTACTAAATGTGTGTCATTGTTTTCCCTTTCCTCATTTCTGTTCTGTTCCTATTTCTTCATCATGATCACACTCTGCAGTTGGAGAGCCTGTATAAAGTATAAATTGAGAGAGAAAAGCATTGGAGAATACTGGTAGCATGAAAAGACTGCTCGTTAACAATAATGGCAAAATTGACTACTCATTCATAAAATAGGATGCAAAATTGGAGCCCTACCTAGTTTATATCCATCCAATAACCAACAATTTACTCGCATTGGGTGTGGGGGAAGAATGGTAAGAATCAGGAACATAGGAAATCAGCATCAGACTTGATTAGATTGGAAAACAATTTCTAAATTTAGTCAAGTTGAAAATGTGTCCTTCAGCACAGCAATCAAATATTCTCAAGTATATAATGCAAAGAAAATCTAACATATGTCTAAGAATAAATATGAGAACAGGTTGAATTATTGGTGGATTTTTTTAAAAGCTGGAGAAAATATAAATGTTTATAAAAGAACATGGAGGTCTACAGTCAGTTGTTGGACCTTCTGCTATTCGGATAAAAAACAAATAAAAGCCACCTTCCTCTGAGCAGATAGACAAAAACCAGAACAGAAATGAAATTTCTCTTTAATAATAGATATCAGCATTCAACCAGTAAAGAGCTTTGCAGATAAGAACGTCTAGAACAAAACATAGACTACCTAGAAGACTTTGGGTTCATTGGTGACTTTTTATACACAACACCAAAAACAGTAGTCACAACATGAAATGATAAGCCACTTTGAAGACAATCTAGCAGTTTCCTACAAGGTTAAACATAGGCTTGGCATTCAGTCCAGGAATCATGCTCCTAGGTATTTACCCAAATGAGATGAAAACATATGTCCACATAACAACCTGCACATGAAGGTCTCTAGCAGCTTTATTCCTAACTGCTAAAAACTGGAAGCAACAAGATATCCTTCAATAGGTGAATGGATAAACAAGCTGTGGTACATCCATACAAGGGACTATTATTCAGCTATGAAAGAGCAATGAACTATTCAGCCACAAAAAGTCATGAGGAACCTTATATGCATACTGCTAAGTGAAAGAAGCTGATCTAAAAAGCTAAACACTGTATTCTGATTCCAAATATATAACATTCTGGGAAAGGCAAAACTACAGAAACAGTGAAAAGATCAGTGGTTGCAGGGGCAAGGGGAGTGAGAAAAGATGAATAAGTGGAGCACAGGGCATATTTAGGGCAGTGAAACAATTTTGTATGTTACTATAGACATTAAATATTTGTCAAAACCCATAGGACTGTACAACAGAGTGAATCCTAATGTATACTATGGACTTGGAAAAAAAAAACAAACCTATTGCCGTCGAGTCAATTCCGACTCATAGCGACCCTGTAGACAAAGTAGAACTGCCCCATAGGGTTTCCAAGGAGCGCCTGGTGGATTCCAACTGCCGACCTTTTGGTTAGCAGCCAAACTCTTAACTGCTATCCCACCAGGGATTCCAACTATGGACTTTAGTTACTAATAATAATGTATCACTATTGGTTCATCAATTGTTACAAATGAGCCACAGAAATGCAAGATGTTAATACGAGAAATAATGTGCAGGTGGGAGGGGCATATGGAAACTCTGTATTTTCTGCAAAATTTTTCTGTAAACTTAAAACTGATCTAGGTGGAGTCAAGATGGTGGTGTAGTCAGACACTTCCTATATCCCTCTTACAACAAAGACCTGGAAAAACAAGTGACTTGATTATATGTGAATATCTAGGGGCCCTGAACAAGGCAAAGTTGAGGAATCAGGCTGAGTGGCGTGGGGAGAGGGAGATGGTTCAGAAGAAGCCAGCAGCACCAGAGTGGTGTGGCAGGACGGCAACTCTTCAGCTGTGCTGGCAACTACTCAGCCATGCTGGGTCCGCGGTGAAGCAGGCAAACAGCTGTGAGCACACTCAGAAAGCAGTTTCCACATCGAGAGAGATCTGGCAGCAGAGATTCTGCTTGGACACTCCGAACCAGTGAAAAGTAGCTCCCAAGCGGCTAAAGATAAGTACGTGCATGCGGCCTTTTGCGAGGATTAAAAAAAAAAAAGCCCATTTGGGAAAAACCTCTCTCCCTTTTACCTCCTCCCTCCACGCTCTGCACCAGGACTCTGCTGGGCCAGAACTAGATCCCATAAGGCACCCTGACCCATTCTCCTGGCCTTGGAGATGGAACAAATAAACTACTGGCTCCCCTAAGCCAGGAACACAGGGTTGGCACAGCTCCTTTGCTAGCACAGACATAAGGGGTCTGCAGACTCTGAGTGCTTTACACCCCTGTATAGACTTGTGGGGACCCATCTCAACAGCGTTAGCCCTCACTACCACAGTACAACAGGGCAAACATCTGAAGTTTAACTTCAACTGTTTCAGCTGTGAAGTGGCAGATTTGTGACACTCAAAACAGCCCTGCCCCTTAAGTAGGCACTTTTATCAATCCGCAACAGGGGCTTGAGGACTGGTGGTGTCACCTAAACCTCCTAATCACCTGCTACAGAGTCCAAGAAAAAGTGGTGCCCTATATCTTTACAGCCAGCAGAGTGGGGTGGTCATAGTCCGGCTGCAAAACTCAGCTATCTACTCACCCTAAAGAATAGGGACACACTTTCCTTTCAGACTCCTAGGGGCAGTGGTCAGCCCCCTGCTGGGCTCAGCGTGTGATCCCCTACCACAGCCAGAGTCCAGTGCCTGCACCAATCACCCATGTCTCTGTAGGACTGTAGGTGAGAGCCTGCACCACACACTTGGTGACTGACTGCCTGGTCACCTGAGCTGAACCCATACAGGAAAATTTAACAGGCTCCTATGGGCACATACCTAGTTACAGAACTAACTACCTGGTGATAGGACATTAGAGCTTCAGAGGTGTCAATATTCAAACTAGCACACACAAGCAGCCTATTTGGGCATATCAAAACAAAACGAGAAGCTAGGACTCACTAAACAAATATAAAATAAAATTATACTAACTTATTGATGGCTCAGAGACAACAGTCAATATCAAATCACATAAAGAGGCAGTCCATGATGGCTTCAGCAAGCTCCCAAAATAAAGAATCAATAAATTCTCTGGAGGAAGAGAATTTCTTGGAATTACCAGAGGCAGAATACAAAAGATTAATATATAGAACTCTTCTAGAAATTAGAAAGGAAATTCTACAAAATGCAGAAACTTCCAGGGAACATACAGACAAAGCAGTAGCAGAACTTAAAAAAGTTATTTAAGAACATAACAACAAATTTGATAGGCTGCAAGAATCCATAGAGAGACAGCAATCAGAAATCCAGAAGATTAACAGTAAATTTTCAGAATTAGACAACTCAATAGAAAGTCATAGGAGCAGAATTGAGGCAGTAGAAGTCAGAGTTAGTGACACTGAAGCTAAAGCTCTTGAAGCCAACTTGAGGAAAAATCAGATAAAAGAATTAAAAAGAATGAAGAAACTCTAAGAGTCATGTGGAACTCTACCGAGAGAAATAACCTATGAGTGATTGGAGTACCATAACGGGGGGGATAATAGAAAATACAGAGAAAATTGTTGAAGATTTGTTAACAGAAAACTTACCTGATATCATGAAAGATGACAAGATATCTATCCAAGATGGTCATCGAACCCCACATAAGCTAGATCCCAAAAGAAAGTCACCAAGACATATTATAATCAAACTTACCAAAACCAAAGGTTAAGAGAGAATTTTAAGAGTGGCTAGAGATAAAAGAAAAGTCATCTACAAAGGAGAGTCGATTAGAATAAGCTCGGACTGCTCAGCAGAAACCATGCAGGCAAGAAGGCAATGGGATGACGTACATAAAGCCTTGAAGGAAAATAACTGCCAGCCAAGAATTATATATCCACCAAAACTGTCTCTCAAATATGATGGCGAAATTAGGGAAAATCCAGATAAACAGAAGTTCAGGGAATTTGCAAATCCAAACCAGAATTACAAGAAATACTAAAGGGAGTCCTATGGTTAGATAATCAATAACACCAGATAACAACATAAGACTAGAACACAGGACAGAGCAACCAGATATTGACTCAGATAGGGAAATCGAAAATACATCAAAGCTAAAACATTGAAAATAGGGAAACAGATATCGATATGTAAAAAAGGACAACATTAAAACAAAAAAAAGAGACTTAAAAATGCAGACATTGATTTTTCATATGGAGGGAAAGTTAAGGCGAGATAAAGTGAAAAAAGACTGGTATAAACTTAGAAAAATAGGGGTAAATATTAAGGTAATCACAAAGTAATGTAACAATCCTACAAATCAAAATAAAAAAGTAGAAAAACATAAAGACCCAGAAACACAAAATCAACAATGAAAAAGATGAAAAAAAATATATAAAGAAAAACGACTCAGAACAGAAAATTAAGGGAAACAAAGAAACTCTGAACAACACACAAAAAGAGATATCAGGAGGAGTCCAGCAAGATGGCGCTCTAGGCAGAAGCACCATGCCGTCCTCCACAGCAAAGATCCGAAAAAACTAAGCTAAACAGAGAATGCAACAATCCTGAAACCCTAGAACATCAAATGAAGAGATAAAGAACTCAGCCCAGCACCAAATGGAGTGAGAATACTGAAAGAGAAAAGAGGTCGAGGAGAGATTCATGCAGAGGTCCCCTACCAGCTAACGCAGCACGGATCCACCATCTTGGACTCCTATCGGAGACCAGCAAATGGGGGTACGAGAAAGCGGCCTCACGGAGCGTCCAGTGGGAGACAAAACAGCCAGGAAGAAACAAACAAATCTACAATCAATAAACGAGAGAAGTATCTACTGAATGCCCCCAAAACAGCAAACAATATCAAAACATTACAAAAACAGCAGAGGATGATTCCAGTAGGCATCCAAATTAAAACATCAGATGACTCTCCTGTGGAAGAAAATGCACTAGAAGTACCTGATAGGGAATTCAAATCTCTAATACTCAGAATATTCCAAGAACTGAGGCAAAAAGCTGACAAACATGAG